AACATATTTAAGAACTGTGCACTGTTCTATGGGGTTTTTTTCCAGTTGTTAAAGGAGAATTAGTTTGGAAGGACTGCTACGATACTGAATATTTGCACTGTTATAATGAAGGCCAGATAATGTATTTAGCACCTGTATGTCCCATGCACCTTGCAAATGTGAGAAATTGCACAAAAAATGTGTTGACCAAAATAGACATAAAGGGCAGGAAAGTCTGCAGATTGTAAGAATGTAATGCTTAAAATGATAATTGATATGTAAGCATCAAGATTTTTCCTGAAATAAATGTGTTGTATTAATTGGAATTTTCTAATGGCTTTCTTCTTCCCTAGGCACGAGCTTTAACACCTCAGACAGCAGAAACGGATGCAATAAGATTCCTGGTTGGAACACAGTCTCTTAGATATGATAATCAGGTAATTTTTCTGTCAAATGTCAGTTGTAATTTTTTTTTCCCTCTTTCTTTAAACATTGTTCTAATATCATTCTTCCTCCTTTCCCCCCCTTGTTGAAATTGAACATTAATTGATAGTCAAGTTGAAGACTTCTATGAGTAGAATGTAAAGATATTGGTAAGACATGTAGGTGAATGAAAGCTGTGTGTATTTCCTGAAAATTAAATTACTCTTCTAAATTGTATGACTAAATTAGATTGGTTTAGTAAAGGAACGGCAATATTTTTGTTCGTTTAAATCTATAGATTTTCTGGAGCTATCTTTAAACCACAGAAGAGATGCAAAGTAAAACAAAAGTCTTTAAGCCTTGATCACCTCTAATGGGACTCCTCGTACACACACGGTTCTGTGTATGTGATGCTTCATAAACTGGAGTTTTCATTATTAAATATTGGCAGTCAGCTATGTCCTTTCTGATCATAAGTTTAACAACAATTTAAAATTTGAGTTACTTCTGTGGCTCAATTTCTATTGGGCTGTTTCTTCTGCAGTTAAGAGTACAATACTTCTAACTGTACAGCAATTTTAATTTTTGTGACCAAGTTTCAGTAAATGCCTTCATACTGAAAGAAGATCTTGAGGCCAGAAGAATTAGAAAGCTGTACCGAGTGCAGGTGGCAAGGCTTTGGTAGCAGGGGAACTGGAATGGTGGCCTCTGAGAAGAGGCCAGGTGTTGCCCATGCCAGATATGCCTGGTTCCAGTGAACCTGCTGCAGGACACAGCTGAGCCAGTCAGCCTGGTGGCACCTCTGTGAAAACATTTAAGAAAGGGGAGAAAATACTGGGTGGGAAGAGGAGGCGAGAACAAAGACTGAGAAACAGCGGAGGAAACGGCAGAGGTAAGACCAAGGTCAGGAGGAACAGAAGGTGCTCCACAGTGGAGCAGGTATACACGGCAGCCTGTGGAGTGCCTGTGCCAAAGCAGGTGGATGTTCCTGAAGGAACCATGGCCCATGAAGACCCCATGCTGGACCAGAGGAAAAGAGTGAGATGGAAAGAGCATTAGAGAGAAAAGCTATGTACTGACCATGACCACTACTGTTCCACACCCCCCCTTTGCTGCTTCAAGGGGATTAGAGGACTCCAGAGTGAAGTTAAGCCTGGGAAAGGGGCGAGGGAAAGTGCTGGTTTAAGATGTGTCTTTTTCTTTCCCACTACTCAAATTAGTAATTACATTATGATTTTAATTGGCAATAAATTAATTAATTTACCCAAATCAAGTCTGTTTTGTCCACATCAGTAACTGGTAAGTGATCTCCCTGTCTTCAGCTTGGCCTATGAGCTTTCTCATTCCTATTTTTCCTCTTTTCTCCCCCTGCCCTGTGAGGGGGGGAGCAAGTGGCTGAGTGAAAATCTGGCTGTTAGCCAAGGCTGACACCCACCATAGACAGTCACCAACTCTTCTGAAACTGGTCTGTAATGGACTGCATGAAACTGACTGGGAACCATAGCTCTGGGAGATGTGAGCTGTCAGTTCCCAGTGAGGTTTTGAGTTTGTTAACTCAATGATAATACTGGATGAGGCTCAAGGGGAAAAAAAAACCCTCAAAGACATAGGGGGGGTGGAGTATTCAGTTTTTTATATCTCGGGTAATAGTTGAGACCAATAACAAAAGAAGTAGCAGGCCAAACTTAGTTAAAAATAAATATGTAAAAATATATTTTTGATTGTGCCATCTTGGTCTTGGGAGATTTGGTTATAATGTGGTTTTCTACTCTGGTTCCTATGTAGTTTTTTTTTTTTACTTCTTGGTTCAACTAATTAAATCCTGATACAAAATTGTAGTTGGAGAGCAATTCTCACCAGTTGATGTCCAGCAGATCTCCAATAATTTAAATGTTCTGATTTAGGTAAGCTGATGGGGCATATGCTGTGTGTTTTAGAAATATCTCTATATACACATATTTCAACTTTATTGAGTATACTTTTCTTTTTCCAATGAATAACATTAATAATGGAAATGCAGGATGCTTCCTAGGGTATTAAAAAATGTTTGGGGGTTATTGGCCTTTAGCTGTGCCTCAGGCCATCAGCTCCTCTCAGCTAGTTGCTAATCCCCAGGAAGTGCCCTAGGCCTCAAGTCATTATTGCTTAATTCAGCACTAGGTTCTCTAGATTTGCTTAAAAACTTTAGTTACCTAACCTAACTTACGAGCTGGCTTGCAACCTCTAGTCCTTGACCAAGTGCTACACAGTAAGAGGTTTCTTATGCAGTGCCATCATGTGTAGAGCATTTCTTTCCTTCTGGTCATGGGCAGGTGTAGTACAAATAAAAGAGCAGTAGTTGTACAGCTGGCATGGTAGCTTCTGCCTCACTGAGCTTTATTGCTGTATGAAGCAATTTAGGCATTCATAGGAGACCTGGTGGAAATACATTTTTCTATTAATACTGGTAAGTGTTAAGCAAAGCAAAGGAAAATGTTCATAAGACTTTATATTCTGTCAATATTTGAAATATTAACAGTGTATAGTACTTGGCATTTGGTCCTTATAACTTGATGGAAACTGTTTAAGTAGTTTCTTTTTGATGCAAGGTCTATGTTCTACACAGTGTAGTTTTAGAACTTTTGTCCTCAGTACTTTCATTGTTGCTACACTTTGGCTTTTTATACTTTCTTAGTTTGATGCATTTACTGTATGCTTTGGAAGCATATAAAGGAAGTGTATATCACTTATTGTTTTCTGATCTCTCATTCTCAGAACTCTCCAAGTTATTTTCAGGCTTGGGTTTTAGAACCTAAAATATGTATTTTCATGGGTTACCTTAATGCATGGCATTATATAGTCACAAAGCAGGGCATCGGCCAAACTAAAACAGTTCCCCAGTCTTTGCTGCCCGTGAGTGCCTGATGAAAGAAAATCAATTACAGAGATTGCATAATTGAAGAAAAAGATATTTTGTGTTGAAATTGGTTAGTTTTAGTCTTCCTGCCTTAGTAATTTCCTTAGCAATTAGTAATTCCTCCAGATTTTGAGAACTAAATAGTTATTTGTTCTCATTCAAATCTCAGTACTTTTTCCTTGTGTTCAGTGGGAATTTTTCCCAGTGTAATTAGAGCAGATTAATAATTCAGTTGTGTAGTTATTGGTAAGAAAGCCAGTCATTTCTAAGAGCTGTTTTCCACAAGGATCATGTTCCACAAGAGCTGTGATGACATGCATCATTAACCATTACACTACAGTCACGCTGAGGAAGTTCTTTGTGTGGACTTACCTTACTTTAAAATTACCATTTTCTGTATCCTTGTGTATGGTGTCCATATGCTGCACTAACTAATCCATGGTAAAGCTTGTTTCTGTACCCTGTCAAGAAAAGTTAGAAAGTTCATGATTGAAGAAGTGAAGGATAACACCCCACAGAACTGAAGCTGGTCCGGTCTGTCAGACAGTTATTATGGGTGAATATTTCTTTCTGCAAATGTTTGTCTTCATGCCATCACACTGGTACGGTATTTGTTACTAGTAATTTTCTATGAAAATTCTTTTGTTCTTAGTCTTTAATGAAGTCACTATTCCATATGATAAATACTATCTGTCATATATTGAAATCAACATGATGAAGAAAATCATTGGCAGAAAAAACACTGGGGGAAATTTTGCAGTTCTTTCTGTTAGGCTGATCAGCTTTTTCTGGTAGACAGTGTTGTTTTCATAGCTACGAAAGGTGTCATTTTTCAACTCAAAGGGTATAAACAATACCCTTGGATAAGAATTAAATTTCTTATTTCCTAAAAGTTTCAGTCTGGACCTTTAATCAGTTAGCTGTGTGTTCCAGCAGAGTTTCCAGCTCTCCATGATGTCAGCTGAAGCAGAAACGTAACAGCAGAGGCGAAATTGGTTATTTGTGCCTTCAAAGGGCTTCAGGTGGGGTAAAGAGCACTCCTTTAGCTTATGTGCTGAGTGACCCTCTTAACCTGGTTAGTGTGGGTAGAGAATATGTGTGACTGTAGTAAATGGGATTTAGATTTGTGGTTCACCTTCAGGGACTTGGATTGAGCTGCCCAGTGACTCCAATGGAAGGATGCCTTCCCCAACTTTTTTTTTTTTTTTTGAGATAGCTGAAAACAAGCACATTTAGCAGATCTGAGTGTGCCTTACATGAGAAACTAAAATAACTTTTAATTTTTAAACTACAACAGATCTTCACTTTTCACACTGTCTGTTAAATACCCAATTCAGTAAATTTTGGAGATCCCCTTCTCTCTGTTATGCTAAAGAAATGTATCATTATTTTGTTATGTAAAATAACAACAGGAGTTACTTTTTGCCATGAGTCTGTTTTTACTTTGGAGTTGTGAATATGTTGCTATTCTTTGCTTTCCAGTTCTGTAGCTGTTTGACTGGTCAACAGTTTCAGTTGCGACTTTGAGAATATCAAAATGTATCTGTGCTGTATGAATAGAACAGCATAGAAAGCTGAATAGATGATGTCTTTCAGTTTTTCTTAAAAAAAAAAACACACACACACAAAAGAAAAAGGGATGAGTTTAAACTGATCTTTAATGATGAAATGAGCAAGAACTTTCTGTATAGACAGAAGCTCTTGAATCGGGATATAGGGAATAGATCAGAGAGGGGATGTACAGAAAGCCAAAATAAAGTGAAACAAGTCTAAGTGATGTTACTCTGGAGAATTTTGAACAGCAAGAGGGTCATTCTCCAAGTTGGACAGGAAGGTGATTATGCAGTTGATAGGGCAGATGGGTGATGCCTGTAGATTTCTAGGTTCAGGGCAACAAATGAAGTCTGAAAAGACAACTTGCTGATCAGCTGCAGAGGTGCTTGTATGCCTTGGATGACAGAGTGGAAGAACAATACAGGTGATGAGAGTCCAGCATGATATTTGAAAGAGGAGTTGCTGATGACAGTGTTTGGAAGAGAAAGAAAAAGGTAATATGTAAACTCAGCCCTTTAGAAAAATAGTGTGTAATGTTACCAATTTAGACTAAGTTGAGACCTTATCAGCTTCTGTACTTTAAGGAAGTTTTTTCTGTAGTGCTGTGTAGCTAAGACTTTTGCCGTGATTCAGTAGTTAATTCAGTAGACTGAATTCAGTCATTATGATAGGATACCTCTTGGTTTTTTTCTCTTCATTGTTCACCCAACTTTGCTAATGAATTTTTAATGAGGATACAGTTCTCTAAAAATCATGGGTCTCCTGCAGTTTATTTGTTCACTGTTGAGCTTAGTAGAATTAGTCCCATGAGTAAAGTTACTTGTATATGTTGTGCCAAGCTAGAGTCTTTCTCAATTTCTTCTATTTCTGAGGCAACTACAGAAAAACAACTAACTAAAAATAGGGAGGAAAAATGAGAGTATCATAGACCTATTAAAAACAAACAACAAAACCAACCCAAAAAAACCCCCAAACCCACAACAAACAAAAGTCAAATCACAAAAAGCAAACCTATCTGTATGTCTTCTAAAAATCTTATCTATATATTCAAACATTATTGGTTTTCTTCATCTTTAAGTTCAACATTTTTTTTTCCATATAGTATAAAAAGAATTACAGATTTTTATATGGTACGGATATGTGATTGCTGAAGTGGACTCTCAAAACTTTTCTTACTGAGTTTACAATACTTGTTTCAAATTAGAGTTCTTTCCCTCTCTCCTCTTTTTTCCTTCATAGGATGTTTGAATTCGATGATTTGCATACAGAGATGGTGCAGACATTTAGACTAAGGATTGTAATGTTGTTGTTTCTGTTTATTGCTATAAGAAGTGTTGAATTGCAATGCAAGTGGTTTATTTATCATTAGCCATAAAATGAAAAATCACCTTCAAGCTTTAAGTTGCAAAATGGAGAGGAATAAACATGGTATTTCCTCAAAACAGGGAAATTGCTTGTGTTTTTCTAGAAAACTATATCCTGCATGAAATCAATGATATACTAAATTGTTAGTATAACAATTAATTAAAGTAGATATCGGTTATAAAATTCTCATTAAATTGTTCTGTGCAGTCATTGTGTATAATTAAGACCCACAGGAAAACATTTGAAACCTTAATGCTCTCTCCTATTGTATCTGCAGATTCACATCATAGATTTTGATGATGAAAATAACATTATAAACAAAAACGTTCTCCTTCATCAAGTGGGTGAAATTTGGCACATTAGTACCAGTCCTGCAGATAAAGGTGTACTGGCAACCTGCTACAATAAAAGTAAGTCCTCTCTAACCATGTTAAACTTGTTCAAGTGTTTTGATATTTTTGAATGTGTAAAGATTGAACATCTAGGTATGTGTAAACACCTTAAATTGGACTTATCTACACAGGCATTTTTCAAAAAATCTGCTGTACCTTTACTATATCTTATTTGTCTCGTATCCTTAGGTCATCTTGGTTAGAAGTCTACTTTTGCATTCATGTCAAGGAAAGCAGCAACATAAAATAGGTCCATTATTGGACCTATTAATTCATATGCATGTTTTCTATTCTAGCTTCTTCGTGTTCTAGATTTAGTTTACTTTACCTGGTTTCTGAACACTAAGCTTTATCATTTGTAGTTCATGCATCTTCATTTAGAATCATCAGCTATAAACTTCCTGCAGAAAACAAGATCTGATTCTTAAATGATTATTGATGACTCTAAATAGCAACGTATGGAACAGAAAGCACACAGCATGGGGTTCTAATAATGAGGAATACTGAGTTTAGCAGACAACTTATTTCAAGTAGTAATACAACCAAATTAAGTAATCGAAACCTTTAAAACACTGTTATGTATTGCATTTGTTTTGTAATTCGAAAAAGACTTAACTGTTTTCCTCATTGAAGTACCAAATGAGCTGATGCTGTCAGGAACAGTTGTAGATATTGTGACCATATCTTTTGCCAGAAATACTGGACTCGGACAAATCTTGACTGTTGTTGAGACTGAGTGATTGAAGAAATGTGATCTGTGTTCATTATTAATACCTATTTTTTTAAGTTGCTTAAAAAAGTGGTGAAATGTGGCATTGAGGAAAAGTGGAATCATGTACATTTAACATTTCATAGCTCATTGAAGTAAGCTAATGGAAAAGGGTGAAGCACTTACGAAAAAACCTTCGTAATTTACTCTTTTATATTGGGAGAGATACTGAGTTTTCTTTTACTTTCTCATGCTTATAGATAGTTAGCATAACCAAGGTATGAATAAGGTCTTATGTTACTTCATGAAAAAAAGATGTAGTAGTTGCAAACAGAAGAGTGCTTGTTTTCACAGCTCTCCTGTTCTTTGTGTTTTATTTAAGAGAAGTATGCCTTTCATGTAGGAATTTTGGGGAATATAATAATGGCTGAACTGAAAGAGGAATACCCTGTACCTGCTCTGAAGAGAGATTTTGAGTCTTGATTAACTTCTTAAAAGCATTTTGCAGCTAATAATACAGCAAAATATTGATTCCTGAGTAATTTGTTTATGTTTCAGTCATCTGGACTTGGTGTTCTTCAGACCGCAGATTCCATTTCTAGAGCTGATATATGCAAGATACAGGATTTCTTTTGAAACATACTTTCCCCAGATTTTAGCTATTCTTCCTTGTTTTTAAATCATGCTGTATTTTTAAAATTCAGTGAAAAATCTTTCTGCAGTATCCAGTTGTTATCATCCCCTGTAATATTATTGAGATTCAGACTATTTTTATTTTTTTTTTACTTAACTACTTGGCAATTAATACTACTGCCTCAAAAAGTCAGAGATGACACTAGCAGTCTTGCTGCATGTTTTGAAATACAAGGGATCTGATGTTGTTTGATTCTCTTTTCTCTCCTAGATATAAGACTTAGCAAAATAATGTTATGCGCAAAGCTTTTTGTTTATTTCTGCTGAGTGTTAAGAATTCCATGAGGGAAACTGATACTCACGTTCAGCTCCTAATAGTAGATTATTTGTGGGGTCAAGAATTGGATGGAAAGGTGTAAGCCCTCTGTGTGTGAGAAAGACACTGATATAATAATGTTTGGAAGTGTCATGGTTTAACCCAGGCTGGCAACTCAGCCCCACACAGCCGCTCACTCACTCCCCCTGGTGGGATGGGGGAGAGAATCAGAAAGGTAAAAGTGAGAAAACTTGTGGGTTGAGATAAAGACAGTTTAACAGGTAAAGCAAAAGCTGCGTGTGCAAGCAAAGCAAAACAAGGAATTTGCTCCTTCCCATGGGCAGGCAGGTGTGCAGCCATCTCCAGGAAAGCAGGGCTCTATCATGTGTAACGGTGGTTACTTGGGAAGACAAATGCCATCACTCCGAACATCCCCCCCCCTTCCTTCTTGTATACAGAGTCTGACATCATATGGTCTGAGATACCCCTTTGGCCAGTTGGGGTCAGCTGTCCTGGCTGTGCCCCCTCCCAGCTTCTTGTGCACCTGGCAGAGCAGGGAAAGCTGAAAATCCTTGACTGGTGTAAGCACTGCTCAGCAACAATTAAAACATCAATGTGTTATCAACGTTCTTCTCATACTAAATCCAAAGCACAGCATTATATGCCAGCTACTAGGAAGAAAATTGACTCTATCCCAGCTGAAAGCAGGACAGAAAGTTTTTACTGTTCTGGTTGAGAGAGGCCTTGAATTGATGTAATAGAGCTCTTAATCAAAAGTTGGAAGATTCTCTTGGATGGGAAATAGCTATGCTTGGGTGTTTTGCCCTTTTTTTCTTCAAAAAACACCTTTTAGCTACTTCTAAGCATGATGGTGTCAGATTTTGCAGATCTGAAGCTTTTGTGTGTGTGTGTGGATGTGTACGTATATATGGGGTGTTTTCCCCGATGTGTATACAGCATCTGCTTCCAGAGTGTTAGTTATGAAGCTTTTTTCCCCCTGAATCATACAGGTAGAAAACATCTTTCAAAATGAATGATAGTAATGTAGAAACAATCTGCCCCTGTCACTGTCTGGGGGATCTGCAAATACTTTTTTTTTCTTTCCCTGCTTCATGGATATGTGGAATCTTTTTATTTGTTCTTGACATGTATAAGTGAAAGAGGCATAACAAGGTAGGACTTCAAATGTAGATTAGTATTATTATTGGTCCACATACTGAAGAGCAAAGTCATGTGAACAGCTAGGCTTCCATATCAGTGAAAATTAATTTCCTTGTTGTCCACTAGATTAGACTTCTGATAAACTCAGGGTTGTTTTTTTCCACAAATGGCTAAACTTGCAAGTGACCACAATTTAGTCATCATTTTGAGATAACCTTTTATTTTTTTATAAGCACTAGGCAAGATCTGTCATAAGTGCCAAATACAGCATATTTCAACAATTGGAAGCAGATTATCCACTCTCATTTTTGGCAGATGCGTCAGATAAGGGTTACTGCCCTTTTACATAGAGCCCGTTGGAATATTTACTATTTACTGGCACATTGATTCTACAATCTCTTTAAATTCTTGTGCTTTCAAGAAAAGTAACTTCCCTAAAAAGTAAAATAAGGTGGCTTAGATAACTTTCTTATTCTGAAGAAGTCACAAAAAAAATTTAAATCCTTGATGAATATGCAGGTTGGAACCTGTGTTCTCTAAACAATGAGTAAAGTTAATTTAAATGCTACTCTGTATTCTTTTGTTCAAGATACTTTACTAGGGCATCGTTATATACATGGGTTTTAAAAAAGAAAAAAAAAACCCCAACATTCCTTTCAAGTTAAAACTCATTTTCTTGTTAGCATCAATATTTACTACTTTGATTTCTAATTTTGACATTGCCTCATTAATAAAGGCTTGTATCTTTTCATTCTGGATGGTGATATTAACTAGAATAATACTGGTTCCAGTAGCATTGGAACAAACCCATCTTCGGATATTAATGAGAAATTCCATTTTCTAGGCCATTTTGTCTCTAACATAAAGAAAAAACTGTGCAATCAGCTCTCCATTCCTCCCCATGCACACACATTAAAAATACTGATTTAGAAAAATTGCATAGTGCAAAGGGAAAACTTATTCTACTCAGTTCCTGTCTTGATTACAGTGGTCCCCCCTCCCAACAAGGATGGATATATCACTTAAGGAATTCTATTATCAAGTGATAGGCTTACTAGTTATGTGATCTTGCCTAACTTTCAGCAAAGATCAGAAATTTACTATGCTGGAGGCATAGTGCTCACCTATGCTAGGCATTCCTAATATACTCTGTGATATTGTATGCTAGAAATGTATTAAGACCATTCCTGTGCAACTCACAATTGTGGTAAGTCAACTGAATTAAAATAGGGGGTGGGGTTTTTTTCTTGGACAGGATAAGATTGCTACTGACAGCTTTAAAGTAGGTAAGAATTAAGGGGAAAAATGAGTTTCACAGTCTTCTAGCTTTAGAAGTTAAATTAGATTGTTAAAGTTCAGTATGATACAGATTAGGTTTAAAAAAAAAAGCTAAAAGGATGGATTGTTGAGAGAAGGGTACAATGTACAGAGGGTTTTGGGTGACGATAATAAAGGTGGCAATAAGCTAGGGTGTTACAGTTGCAGTTTAATTGGTTAATGCTTAATCTCTGAAAAGTTACACAGACTTATTTGTCTCTGATGTTTATTAATACCTTAGTTATGTTCAACAATGCAGAAATCAAATCGTTTGCTTCACAGTGGCCCAGAAATATCAAGGGAGAATTTAGTGGAAAATCCCTGTCAGAATGACTCTAGGAACTTTACACCTTCCTTCTTTTTTGCTATTCTGACTAGCTGCAGTCAATTGACTATTCATTTTGTCTTTCTTTAAAATTTGACAGGAGTGACACTTTTAAAAATGTGAATAAGAAAGGTGACACAGTAATTAGGGAGATTATAGCATCTTAGTAGAAATGCACTTTTAAATATCAGAAAAGAATAATGATGGGGTGGGATGAGGGTCAAGAATGTACCCTCCAAATAATGATATAAACTGATGAGACTAATAATACACTAAATATAATAATAACTTTAAAAATGAAGGTAAATTAGTCTTCAAAAGTGCAAGAAATTGGTAGCCATCCAAGAGCTCTATTCACCTGCTAAGGGGAAGTTATTTCACATGTGTATCACTAAAGTTTGAAAGAAGCCTTACTTCACTGTTCAGAAGAGCATCCTAGCCTACACTAGGATAAATGTTTCATTGTGATGAGGTAAAATGCCAAAAATCTGTAGATCATGCTAGAGTGGAGTCGCTTTGGAACCAGAACAATGAAAACCTGTCAAAGTCCTAGACCT